ACCCTCTCCTCCGACACTGCACATGTTCCACGACGCGGGCACTCGGGGATGTCGACCCTTTCTTCGCCCGCGTTTCATCCCGAGTCCTGCTTCTGACAGTCCCCGGGCCCAGGAACGGCCCTCCAGAGGCCGAAACCAAGGAACCAGCCATGCAGATCCGTGGCACTCCGCCTTTTGTTGGCGGGGCGACACCCCTGCCACGCGCAGGTGCCCCCCCGGCAGACTCGCATGGATGCGACTACTACTGGCAGGGGCCCTCGTCCGATCCCGTTCCCGTTCGCCGCTCCCACACCCACAGACTTTAGCTGCAACGCAGCGGCCTACTGAGCAAGGGAGCCCGGAGCCAGCTTGTGACATGCGTCGCGGGGACGTGACGCATTAGCCTCACAGCGCTGCCCCCTGCCTCAAGCAAGTGAACGCCAGCCATGCCCTCATACCACCACGTTCTATTCCGCCACGCCTCTGATTCCTCACCCCTTGCTTGTTGGTATTGCGCCCCGGCTACGGGCAGGTGGGCAAGGGCAATTATCTTGCGTCCATCCCTCCTCTACTCTTGCCGTCTCGTCTCCTCCTCTGAACGGTTGCTTGGCCCATGCTTTTGCTTAATTCGGGTAATCTCGCCGTTTCCTTCCGATTATTTGGAGACGCACCCGTAGAATTCGCCTTGACGGACTGAACCTATTCATGTGTGTCCTGTGAGGCTTCCCAGGAGGTTCTAAACAAGCCTCTCCAGATACCCGTCGGTCTGAAGAAGTAGGTAGAAACATGAAGTAGGAAGGCGTTGGAACTGGATTGGGCTTCCGCCCGCCCGCAGACGAGGAAGGGAAACGAAAAAACACTCGATGATTGAAGTAGGAAGGCGCCTAAAGTAGGCGGAGATATTGGAATCCAGAAATACCTACTTTCAACGACCGACGGGTATTCCCTCAGAAGCCGCCGGATGAGATCGGAGGCCCTCGAGCCTTCCCAGAGAGACTTCTGGGGACACCTGGCGCTGAGGCAAAATGTCCTGCGAGCGTATTCAAACATTCGGCGCCATTTTCTGCCCGCTCGGCCGCCCGGCTTGAACCTTGGGTAGGAGGGCCGTCAGCCTTGTCTGCCTGTTGCCCGATTGCCCAGGGCAAAGGGCATCGACGTTGGCCGTAGACTGGTAGGTGTCCAACTTTGTCTGTTGTTTGTCCGATTGCCCAAGGCTACGGGCCGCGAGGTGTAGTCTTGGCCGTTGATGGGTAGGCGGTTCCAGCTTTTCTGCCTGTTGCCCGACGGCCCAGGGCTAAGGGCTGCGAAGTGCAACCTTGGCCATGGATGGTTAAGCTTACACATTGTCTGACCGCCCACGAAGAAAGGCCTCGAAGTGCAGTCTTGGCCATGAATGGGGAGACCGCCCGCCATTCAAAATATGTGTTGCCCGCGAAGTACAGTCTGGGCCTTGGGTGGGTAGGCCATGGTAGGCCTTCCACCTTGTCCTACGGTGACTACCCACCCTTACGGTTGTGGGGCCGCCAGTATAATCTCCATCCTTCTGGCATGCCTCTGCATTACAGACAGTTCGCTCACGTCACACCACCAGACGTACCGGTAGGGCGGTGTGGGAGTTCAGCCTGGAACTTCGCCGCATGCTACGACCCCAGAACTTGATAAGCCAAACAGTCCTACGAGTGGATGGTTCACCTCTGATAATCCTGAATCCTCCTCGCATGGTGATCCCACATTTCGGATCGTTCAACGATTTCACGGATGGAGAGCATGGAGGAATTTCCAACATCTGCTTATCACGTCGGCCTTCCTCGTATCACATGGCTCTAAACGTAAAGGTCCCAACACTTACACCAATGGAAGGAGGGCTATCTTCAACATCGAACTATCGCCCAACACCATGATAACCCCACATGCCAACTGTCATACAGCTGGGGCAGGTGTAAAAAGCCGTCATCCCGCGCCAAACACCCTACCACACATCTCCACAGATCGCGATGTTCGAAAGCTTTACGGACGGAAGCCAAATTACTGTCAACATAGTAATGTAGCATCAGCCATGTACGTGATGGGCTGATGACTCTGGTCATCCTCCCCACTCCTCAAGATCCTCCTGATCCTCCTCCTCCTCCGTATGCCCCAGAGGCTTCCGACCTCATGCGTCGGCGGTTTGCCCTCCACTTCGGCGGCCGACGACCGTCCAAAATCTACAGCTTTCGAGATCGATGATGATTGGCTTGGAGGCTGTGGGAAGGACGAGGGCAAGATCGATGATGCTAAGTTTGGAGGCCGTGGGAATCGGGAGCGGCCAAGAGGGGGGTGTCCAAGAGGGGGGGTGCAAATCATGACCGGCGGCATGTGCGCGGCCCAGCGGGGGGGCCAGGAACGTAATGAAATAAGAAGAGGCGCAATGAAATCTGGGGAAATATCATGGCCCACGCCATGATATCCACCCCCCCCTAGTCATCACCCCCCTCTTTGCCGCCCCCGAGGGAAGGACGAGGGAAGCCCTGAGCAGACCAGGAGGAGCAGGACGAGCCAAGGGGGCCTGGCTTTGGCAGCCGGGGCCCTGCGCCTCCCGCGCGAGGGCCCCGCCGGTGACCGAGCCGACGGGGGCAGAAGAGGAGCGGGCTGGTCCTGGCGCGGCGGGGGGTCTTAGGGAGCCCACAAAGGACGTACGCGCCCAGCTATGTACATGAACACGGCCCCTCGATTCGCGAGACCCGCCGCGTGATACGAACATTTGTGCAATGCGTGCTCTCGAAACCAGCGGGGATTCATGTACATGTACGTCCTTCTGTCGCTCCTGGGCTCTGCTGGCCTGCACCCCAGCCAGCACGTCCGGTCGCGCCTCCGGAGAAGCTCCCGCCCTCCCTCTGGACGTAGGCGGTCAAGGGTAGAGGGCAGAACATCCACCCCGATAATAGCCACCCCGACAATAGCCAGCGAGGCCGTGTAGTAAACGCACCCAACGAAGGAATCAAGCAGGGCAGGGCTGTTTAGTAAACGCCCAGGGCCGTTTAGTAAACGCCAGTTGTCCGGTCGGGATGGATTTTCCTCCCTTGGTAACCATGTCTTTCTGTCCTCTTCCAATGCCCTCTTCCCTTCAGGAAGGGGCACCCTCCCCCTCTCCTCCCTGAGTTTCTGTTGGGGAGGACGCGAGGTGGCAGAGGGTGTGTTGTGCGCTCGAGGTGGAAAAGATCCAAGAGGGCGTCCGATGCTACGAGATGACCTCCAAGATGGCTCAAGATAGCCGAAGATGGTTCAATAAGGTTTCCGACATACCACCAACAGGCTCGATGAGGGCCACAAGATGATTCCCAGTGCTGTCGCAGCCCCCTCGACACCCCCCAAGAGGCTAAAATCCTTCAAACAAACCTCCTCGCCTTTTCGCGCGATGCGGGTTTAAAGCTTCAAGATTGCCCCAAGATGGCCTAAGAGAGGCCCAAGAGGGGCCCAAGAGGGGCCCCCGTGATCGATGGCCTCAAGATGGCACCCGAAGGCCCCACAGGGCTCCCAGGAGAGCCCCAAGTGGAACCTCGACGAACACACAAATGCACACCCAAAGACCTGTTGGAGGCCCGCGTGGACTTCTCGGGTCGGCGCCGGGCCCCCCTCCCCTCGTCGCTTCCCTGGCGCGCGCGCGGGGTGGCCAAAAAGGGGAGCCCGGGAGCCGAGCAGCCCGCGCGGACCTCCCGTGACGCTCCTGCTCCCGCCCTGCTGCCGCAGCTCCCCGGCAGGCAACCGCCGAACCCGCGGAGGAGGAGGAGGAGGGGGGAGGAGGGAGGAGGGAGGAGGAGGAGGAGGAGGGAGGAGGGAGGAAGGGATGAGGGAGAGGGAGGAGGAAAGTAGGGAGGAGGGGGAGGAGGGAGGAGAGTGGAGGGAGGATGGAGGAGGGACAGGAAGGAGAGGAGGAGGGTAGGAGGGAGAGGAGGGAGGATGGGAGGAGGAGTGGAGGAGGCGGAGGAGGTAGGAGGTAGAGGATGAGAGGATGGGAGGAGGATGTGAGAGGAGGGAGGAGGAGGAGGAGGGTAGGAGGATTAAATGGGGGGAGGGGAGGAGGCGGAGGAGGAGATGACGAGGAGGGGAGGGAGGAGGAGGGGGGAGGAGAGTAGGATGAGGAGGGAGGAGGAGGGGAGGCCCTAGGCGCGCACCCCCGCACCCTCCCCCCCCCCCTCCCGCACGCCCTGGCTGCGGGCTGTTTCTCCGCCCGCGGGGGCAGCGGGCACGCCTCTGGACTCCAGCGCCTCGTGGGCGCACGCCCCGCCGGGCAGAGAGAGAGAGAGAGTGAGAGGCCCGAGAGAGAGAGAGAGAGAGAGGCCAGAGAGAGAGGTCCGAGAGAGAGAGAGAGGCCCGAGAGAGAGAGAGAGAGAGACCCGAGAGAGAGGCCCGAGAGAGAGAGAGAGGCCCGAGAGAGAGGCCCGAAAAAAAGAGAGAAAGAGAGAGAGAGAGAGAGAGATAGACAGGCGGCGAGGGGGGCCAGGGAGGAGGAGGAGGAGGAGGAGGGGGGGGGCAGAGGCGCGGGAACGAGGAGGGCGGATGGCGGGCGAGCGGGAACGAGGAGGGCAGAGGCGCGGGAACGAGGAGGACGGCGGGAATCGGGGGAGGAGGGCGGAGTGGGGGCAGGAGGAGAGAGGTGCGGGAGCTTCGCCCCAGCGGCCCTCCCGCGTGCGGCCGCCTCTCGCGGCCCTCACCCGACGATGAACCGCATCCGCGCAGGGCACGGTGGCGGAGCGCTGGGGGCCTGTGGCACCCCGGCGCGGGCCTGCCGAGCTGGCGGAGGGCGGGGCGAGAAAGGCCTCCTTCGAGCGCCGAGCTGCGGACAGTGTCGAGCGATGAAGCCCCGATGCCCTCGATGCCCATCCCACACGGCGGTCGCGGGCGGGAGGGAGGGGTGGGAGGGAAGGAAGGAGAAAGCCAAGAGGCGAGAGAGAGGGAAGAGGGGACGACCGAACGACGGGGGGAACTTCCTCCTTCTCCGTGTGCCCCGTCCCTCAAGATGGGCACGTGTGCCTTCTGGATCCACAGCTGGCTTGGTGGCCCTCCTCCTCCTCCTGACTACCTACCAAACCACCCCAGCCCAACCCAAAGACCCGAATTTGACCCGAATTTCGGGTTGGGGGGTACGGGTTCCACGTGTTTTGTCGATGCTCCCCGAACCCCCCCCCACACTGGAAATGGAGGGCAAATCTTGGCCTTCGGGTTGGGTTGGGGTGGTTTGGTGGGCGGTGACCTCCTCCTCCTCCTCCTCCTCCTCCTCCTCCTCCTCCTCCTCCAGTCTTCTGCTTTTGAACAGCTCCGCATCGTCACAAGAGCAGTCGTGTCGGCAGAACGGGCCAGGGGCTGCGCCCGAGGCTTCCTCACATCACCAGCTGCACGGATGGAGGGCGGCCCGCATTCCGAATGTGGCTCTCGCCAGATCGCCACGCAGAGCAGTTCACGGGTGTAATAATTGTTAACGAATTGAGGGCGACACCCCTCACGAGGATCGTGGCCTCCGAGGGGGGAGCCGCAATCGACTACCCCCCCCCCTCCCACCCCAAGAGGTCCCCCAAAGCCCTCCAAGAGGCCGTGGGGGCCCCCAGGACGCCGCCAAGGAGACCCAAGAGACTCCCAAGAGGTCCCCAAGAGGCCCCCAAGAGGCCCTAAAGAGGGCTCCAGGGCCGGCGGAATGAGATCGACAGTGAGATCGATAGTACAATCGATAGGGAGACCGATAGTGAGATCGATTGAGTGAGACGTTGTTTCCGCCCCACCCACCCACCTCCGAACCTCCTTATCACCCGAATGATGGTCGTGTAGATAGGGACTTGTGATGCGGGTGGGTGAGACTGTAGGGCTCCACTGCAACATCATTGGCGCATCCTGGGCTTACTATGGTTTTTGTCCTCATATCCGTCGTCGCTCCCATCGTCATTCATTACTGTCATCGTCCACATCGTCCTCATACACTCCCTTGCTCCTCCATTTCCTCCTCCCCCTCCTCCTACCTCTCGTCATTTTCTTATTACTCCGCCTCCTCCACGCACTGCTCAATCACATGATCCTCCTCATCATCCTCATCGTTTTAGTATGCTCTTCCATATACGTATCCTTCATCTACCTCTCTACTTCCGCTACCCTCCTTTTTCCCCAACCATCATCCTGTGGTGTTGGGTCCTCGTTTTGAAGAGACAGCGCCGCGCGTCCCTCCTCCTCCTCCCGCTGCTCCCCCTCCCTCTCCCCGCCATCAGCATCACCGTCACCATCATCACCTCGACGCCCACCAACATCAACATCATCATCTTCATAACATCCTGATCATCAGCATCATCATCATCATCAGCATCATCAGCATCATCATCATCATCAACATCATCATCATCATCATCATCATCAGCATCATCATCATCATCATCATCATCATCCTCATCATCATCATCATCATCATCATCATCATCATCAGCATCATCATCCTCATCACCATCGTCATCAGCACCATCAGCATCATCATCATCCTCATCATCCGCATCATCATCATCATCATCATCATCATCATCATCATCATCATCATCATCATCATCATAATCAGCATCATCATCAGCAGCATTATCATCAGCATCATCAGCATTATCATTATCACCACCACCACCGCCATCATCATCATCAGCATCATCAACATTGTCATCATCATTGGCATCATCATCAGCAGCAGCATCATCATAATCAGCATCAGCAGCATCAGCATCATCATCAGCAACCTCGTAAGCATCATCATCATCATCATCATCATCATCATCATCATCATCATCATCATCATCATCATCGTCATCAGCGTCATCATCAGCATCATCATCCTCATCCTCATCCTCATCCTCATCATCATCATCATCATCACCATCATCATTTCGGCATGCCACTCGCGCAATTCGTGGCCCCAATAAGGAGCACCACAAAAGGCCCCACTGACTGCGTTCGCATCCGTCACCGCCACCCATTACGGCACACCCATGCGCCACCGCCACCCCTTACGGAACACACCTCACACGGTTCGTGGCCTCATAAGGAGCTCCACCGAAGGCCCCAATGGGTGAGTTCGCATCCGCCACCGCCACCCAGTACGGCACACCCCTCACACGGTTCGTGGCCCCATAGGGAGCTCCACCGAAAGCCCCAGTGGGTGCGGTTGCATGCGTCACCGCCACCCATGACGACACACCCCTCACACGGTTCGTGGCCCCATAGGGAGCTCCACCGAACGCCCCAGTGGGTGTGGTTGCATGCGTCACCACCGCACACTACGGCACACCCCTCACACGTTTCGTGGCCCCGCAAAGAGCTCCACCGAAGGCCCCAGTGGGTGCGGTTGCATGCGTCACCGCCACCCATGACGACACACCCCTGACACGGTTCGTGGCCACATAAGGAGCTCCGACGAAGGCCCCAATGGGTGCGGTCGCATGCGTCACCGCCACACATTACGGCACACCCTTCACACGGTTCGTGGCCACATAGGGAGCTCCACCGAAGGCCTCAATGGGTGCGGTTGCATGCGTCACCGCCACCCAGAACGGCGCACCCCTCACACGGTCGAGACCTCATAAGGAGCTCCACAGAAGGCCCCAATGGGTGCGTTCGCATCCGCCACCGCCACCCAGTACGTCACACCCCTCACACGGTTCTTGGCCCCATAGGGAGCTCCACCGAAAGCCCAAATGGGTGCGGTTGCATGCGCCACCGCCACCCAGTACGGAACACCCCTCACACGGTTCGTGGCCCCATAGGGAGCCCCACCGAAAGCCCCAATGAATGCGATTGCATGCGTCACCGCTATCCATTATGGCACACCCCTCACACGGTTCGTGGCCTCATAGGGAGCTCCACCGAAGGCCCCAATGGGTGCGGTTGCGTGCGCCACCGCCACCCATTACGGCACACCCCTCACACGGTTCGTGGCCTCATAGGGAGCTCCACAGACGGCACCAGTGGGTACGGTTGCATGCACCACCGCCACTCATTACGGCACACCCCTCACACGGTTCGTGGCCCCATAGGGAGCTCCACCGAAAGCCCCAATGGGTGCGGTTGCGTGCGCCACCGCCACCCATTACGGCACACCCCTCACACGGTTCGTGGTCCCATAAGGAGCTCCACCGAAGGCCCCAATGGGCGCGGTTGAGTGCGTCACCGCCACCCAATGCGGCACACCCATCACACGGTTCGTGGCCACAGAGGTAGCTCCACCGAAAGTCCCAATGGGTGCGGTTGCATGCGTCACCGCCACACATTACGGCACACCCCTCACACGGTTCGTGGCCCCATAAGGAGAACCACCGAAAGCCCAATTGGGTGCGGTTGCATGCGCCACCGCCACATATTACGGCACACCCATCACACGGTTCGTGGCCCCATAGGGGGATCCAACGAAAACCTCAATGGGTGCGGTTGCATGCGCCACCGCCACTCATTACGGCACACCCCTCACACGGTTCGTGGCCCCATAAGGAGCTCCACCGAAAACCCCAATGCGTACGGTTGCATGCGTCACCGCCACCCATTACGGCATACCCCTCACACGGTTCGTGGCCCCACAAGGAGCTCCACCGAAAGCCCCAATGGGTGCGGTTGCGTGCGTCACCGCCACCCATTACGGCACACCCCTCACACGGTTCGTGGCCTCATAGGGAGCCCCACCGAAGAATATGCTCACACTTGCGGTACCCACAACTGCATATGGTTGGGTCATTCGCCAGGCTAATCATAATCAACAAGAATGGTCATCTATTACTCTTCAGTGGGTGCCCGTGCCGCGGCACACGCGGGCTGAATGTATACTCCAAGGCGTCGGTGCCTGACTGCGCGGCAACAGTGGTGAGCCCCTGCAAAGCACTTTCAAATTCTGACACGTTGAACGGAGACTCCACGATTTCAAGCGGTTCGGTGCATAATGGGGCTAACCAAGCCACACGTGTTTGATGAGATCAGCAGGACGCGAATTTGGTAATGTGCAATCGCTGCAGCGCCTGTCGGAGTACTCGGTCCAATGTCAATCTTGTATCCCTTGCTGGTTTGCTCCCGTCAGCGAGTCAAACCTGAAGAAATCTCTCCTCATCCATGCCAATCCCTTCTGCTACATCCTGCCCCTGCCTCCGAACGCCAGCCCACGTCAGGCCCCACGAGCTTCGCAGACAAACGACACGGGCGGCCCCCTCGACCGCTCTGCACATCCCTCCCTTCTCCCCCAATCCCCCGCCGCCCGCTTCGTGCAGTGGGGGGGGGGCTCCTGCGGAGGCGGCCCCATAAGCCCCGTCGCCCCCCGCGGGCGCACAGCAGGCGCTGAGCGGGAGCAGTACCGTACAGCAGATGCCAGTGCGGTCTAGGCCCCGTTGCGGGCTTGTGACGAGATGGCACATCGAGGCGCCCACACCACCTGCATACAAAATGCCCCTCGGGATTCCCATCGGAATCCAAGAGCTCATGCACACGCTTATCCAGCGCCTCGGGCAAGTTCAACCGCCGCCCAGGTGGCCACCAAGAACTCCGAGGGCGGGATCATCGCGGACCTGGTGGACACACTTCCAAAGACTCCGACGTGCACCAGCCTTTCCCTTCCATGAAGTTGGCCAGTCGCCTGTCCATCATACCCAGAGCCCCGATACACGTCGAAAGATGTCTGCCACTGCTACGGGGCGGCGGCACATTGTCAAGCACCTCGAGATACCTCGAGATACGGGTCCCGCTGGGGCGCCGCTCCCAATCGCACATGCAATGCGTGCGTCCGACTCCTGGTCAGGCTGGCCGTCGCTCAATCACATGCGACGGGGACGCCTGTTGGCAGACACGGGGCAGTCTTTCTCGCTACTGCCCATCGGCGGCTGCTTCCAGACTTTGATGCACTGCTAAGGGAGACAACCTATGATTACGAGGATAACTGAAAACCTGGGAGGGCTCCCGAGAGCGCAATCGGATGCGATCGCCTGCTGTTGCACGGAGTATGTTGTCGCCCACAATCCCTCGGTGTAGAACTCTACACCCAGCATTCTGTTTCAGGAGACCGCCCAGACCTAGAGGGCAGGACCGACGGCAACACTCCCCAGTGCTCTTCGACACGAGATTTCTTTGGTGCCTTCGCGTCCTGCTTGCCTGCGCGGCCATTCACAGTTTGTTTGGGTTCAGAACTACATCTTCTTTCGGGACATGTTCCAGCGTCACGCTTGGATGACTGAAACGCTTGACGCAGCATTCCCCCCCAGGAGCCATGCCGTATTTGCACGCATTCACAGGGTCTGCGGCACAGAAGCCATGCTGTAGATGATTGCTGCGCTTGGCAATTAGAGTTTGCTGTGCACGCCAGCAGGTGCAGGGTCACGTCGTAGAGATGGAGTGTTGGGACCAGCTGCCATCGGGATGCTTTTCAGCGCGCTCATCCCGCCGCCCAGGACGACGGTCCGAGGGTCCAACCCAGAGCAGCTGGAGTATGCCCACGTCTCTCTCAGTGCCCGGCAAGCCCATTGCGGTCCCAAGTTAGCCCAAAACGGGCCAGACCTCTCCCACACAGTATGCCGCAGCGTTGCATGTTCCCCGCGTTCCCATGCTCATCCCTGGAGCTGGGATGCATCCCACATCGGGCACCGGTAACCGCTCCCCCTTCGTGCCTCGCACTTAAATGAGACTTGGAGCATCCCCAGGCGGGCAAGTAGTCATCTCCTTCCCCCCAGCCACCAGCCAATGCATTCATGCGGCTGCATTACGCGAGGGTGTTGCTAGAAACGGGAACTGTTGGCCTACACTTACGCTTTGGCAATCTTCCGAGTCGTTGAAGGCTTCGCAGGGTGAAGAGGCGGCCGGCCAGCCTAACTTGAAAACGGCCCGGATCTTTTCTCACGTGCGCGACCAACCTCATGCGCAAATGGCTCAAGCTGTGTTTCGTCCGGAGAGGTACCCGGCCAGCCGCATGTATAATCGGGTTGGGCGAAAGGGGGGGATAGCAAAGGGGGGGGGGTGAGAATCAGCTCACGTAGCTGATTTTCTCGGCGCCTCCCAGCGCCGGAGGCGGCCATGTATCGAGCATTGGGCCCCTCGGTGGGTCCGAAACCAGCTGCACGCAGCAGATTTAATACCCCCCCTTTCCCTATTCCCCCCCTTTCGTCCTGTCCGATATAAGTTGTTCGAGTCTTGATTGCGGTGCGCGACCAGCCTCAGTCTCAAGTGCTTCTGGATATGTGCTCGTGTCGAGGCGACCGCTCGGTCCGAACGCCACTTCGAATAGCTCCATGCCTCTCCTGCGAACCCATTTGCGCAGGATGCCATCCTGCTCGGCCAACTTGGCACTCCATCCTTCTCTGCCCCCAGATTGGCCTAAGACAGTCCGCCCTTGCCCTGACCGCTCCTGAGCCTACAGGGCCAGGTACTGGTACCATGCTAAAGCGACGCCTGGGCTCCCAGGCAACCAGTCTACACCATCCCTTGGCAGCGCCGCCGGGGCCTCTGGTACCAACTACCCGTGCCATTCATTTTGTCTTCTGCCACGTTCTCCACTTCGCCCGAGATCACCGCAAATTCAGAATGCTTCCGTGAGCTCCCCGTGCTACAAGGCCAATGTCAGAGGCATGTGGGATCGAGCGTTTCACGCCCGCCTGTGCGGCACTTCAGCCACCGCCCGCCACACAGATGTGAACGGCGTAAGTCCAGTGAGAAGACCCCTCCAGTCAAAGGCCTTCCAGCAATGCAGTCCTCGTCCCTCCTCGTCCTGTCCCCACACCCTCCCTGCCCTCCTTGAGGGGTGTGGCCTGTGAGCCTGCGCGCAGCGGCGCAAGCGCGGGCAGCGGCAGCGAGGGCGCCGATATTGACGCTCCCAGTCCAGGGCTACACCGCAGCACCTGGAGCAGGGGGGAGAGGAACGACAAGAGGAAAGACACGGGGGGATGATGGGAGGGGGAAATAGGAGTAGCTGGAGGAAGGGCGGACGAACAAGGGGTGAAGGAGGAGGAGATGGTGGTGGGGAGGATGTGCGAAAGCACGTCCTCCGCTGATCGCAGTCGACACTCTCCCCCTTTCCCTGGGCCCTCCTCCACAAGCGATCAAGCCAGGGAATCCCCTCTTCTTTGATCCCTTCCCCAGCGCGGCTGGGGGTCCAAGTCGGGGGGGGGAGGGGGTCGCCGGGGCTCCCACGAGAGCCCCAAAGAGCCGCACAAGAGGGGGAGCACCACTCGACATCTGAAACCCTCTGCCCCGAGAGGCAATCAGGAAGCCCGAAGAGGCGCCCCAGATCCCCCAAAGGGGGCCCCAGAGCTACCCACGGCGCCACAGAGCAACCCCCAGGGCATCAATCGGGCCCTGAAGGGGACGACATCCTGGATGTCCTCAACCAGCCTGTCATTTCCAAATGTTTTCGAGCTCTAGCCTTTCGGTCTTCTCACGCTCGAGGAGGGCCCAAGAGGCACCCCTCGAAGGATTGCAAACAAAACCCAGGATTGCAAAACAAAACGACGGATTGCAACAAAAACCCGAAGAATTGCAAAACAAACCCTAGGCTTTTTTGCAATCCTTCGTTTTTTTGCCATCCTTTTGTTGCAATCCGTCGCTCCAAAACGGCCCAGGACCTCCCCGAGGGAGCCCCACGTCGCCCAAAGGAAGCCTCACGACGGCCCGAGGCCCCGAGACGGCCCAAGAGGCACCCCAGAAGAGCCCAAAAGGGATCCAAGACTGCCCAAAGGATTGCAACACAAGAAGTTGGTTCTTTGTTTTTTTGCTTTTGTTTGCAATCCTTTGTTTTTTTGTTTTTGCAATCCTTCGGTCTCAGACGCGCTCTCTCTTTGTGTTCGCTGGGCCTCCCCCCCGTTTTCGGACCCTGGGGTTGTTGTAAATTACATCTGGCTGGACCCTGATGCACTCCTAGCATACAGGGTCGGTCGGCGGCACAGGCCGCAAGGCCTTCCCAATAGGAGATGAATGAGGAGGAGGAGATGGTGGGGGGGGATGGTGTGTGGAAGTGCGTCCTCAGCTGATCCGAATTGTTTTCCAACGTATAGAACATGCGCAAGCTACACGTGTACACCCAACTTATTGCCTGAAATATTGCATGTACGTGTGCAACAAGCACATGCGTCAGAACGAACGTTTAGACATGCAAAAGAAACAAACACAAGTTCGAGCAAAAGCAGACTGAACATATGCGTTGATCTAGGGTCGAAGGGATCATGGCGCCCCAGGCACACTACCACGCAAATGGCGTCAGGTGGCAAAAGAGATGGTGTCAGCAGCAAGGAGCACGGCCCCCTTGACTTACGCAAGAGGGCCCCGTTGCGACAGAGCGCTTTTGGGCTCTGGGGGACATGACAGCCGAAAACCCACGACGCCCAGAGGGATCCCCAGACTGGCCCCAGAATGCCCCAATGCTCCCACCCAGGGCCCGACAACTTCCCAAGAAGGCCCCAAGGCTGCCCAAGAGGCCCCCACGACGGCCAACATAAAACCTCAAGAGGGCACCAAGAAGAGGGCACCAAGAGGGGCCCAATGAAGGCCCAAGAGGGGGAACGCGTTGGGGCCCTGGGAGTCCTCCCCCACAAGATGGACCCCGAGACCCCAAACCTGCCCCTTTGAGGGACCCGAGAGGCCTCCCCAGGAGCCCTGAAAAGACTCCCAAGAGGTCACCAGCGAGGCCCTCAAGAGGCCCCAAGAAACCCCGCAATAAGCGAGGAACAGGAGGACTAATCAGCAACAGGTGCACGCAACCACCACCAAGGGAAACGGCAAACAGCATGCACGACATCGGCAACCGCACATCTCCTCTCCTGGGGTCGGCGCAACGACGCAAGCCTCTCGAAGAGACGTATGGTGGATCAGCGGCATCAGAAGCCCCATCGATAGCCCATGACGCTCCCCAGCAGCCCGACGACAGCTTCAAGAGACGCCCCAAACAGTGCAAACGGCCACGAGAGCTCCACACCGCCCAAGAAAGCCACAAGGCAGCCCAAGCTGGCCCCGTCAGGACCCACGAGGGCCCAACGAGGCAAACATCATTGATTTGCACCAGGTGGTTGACAAATGTTTGCGTTCTCTCCTTTTCGGACTTTCGACAAGACGGCCTGAGAGGCTCCCAAGATCGCCCCGAGACGGCCCGAGAGGCCCCCAAAATACCCCAAGACAGCCAAAGAGGGCCCCAAGAAGGCCAAGAGGGCCCAAGATGCCCCCAAGACGGCCCACGAGGATCCTAAGAGGGGCCCAGGATGCGCAACAGGGGCTGACATGTCGAGGCCCCCGCCCTGAGATGACCCCGAGATCGCCAGCTGGCCCCCCAAGAGGCCCGAAAAGGCCAGCAGAGGCCCCAACGAGGTCCCCGAAAAGGCCCCACAAGGCTGCTAGGCGGCCCCAAGAGGCACCCGAGAGCCCTCCCAGAGGCCTCCGAGAAAACGCCCACAGAGACCCTTGTCTGCATTCCGCGACCGTGGGCCGAAATCCACCAGATTAGATCTGTTCCGTCTCTCTCCAGATTCGAGGTGCTATTCAGTCGTCCTACGGCCTCCTGATCCCCCTTCAGTGTCGGCGGAACCGGCCGTACGGCCTCTCCAATTCGCGGGCCCAACGGGCCAAATGCGTGCTAAGATCTCCAGAAAAAAATTCTACTTTTACTAACTCGCGCGCGCTAGTGGCGGCCCCGGGCCCCGGGTCGAAACGTACCCCGCGATACTCGCGCCACGGATGCCGAAGTCCCAGGTGCGGGCTTCTGGTCCTCAAGATCGCCCCAGGAGCGGCCGAAGGGACCCCAAGGGAGTTCCAAGAGGGCCCAGGAGCCCAAGATGGCTCCAAGGCAGTCCCCAGAAGGCATCAAGGTAGCCCCAAGATGGTCTCACACAGCCCCAAGAGAGCCCCCAGAGGTGGATTTTGACGTCACCGCCTTTTCGAACTTTCAATTGCCGCAGGTGGCCCAAGAGGCTCAAAATCGACCCAAGACCGCCCAGAAGGATCCCAGGACGGCCCCAAAATGGCCCAAGAAGGGCCAAAGACAGCACAAGGAGCATCCCAAGAGGGCTCCAGAGGCTCCCAAGAGGCACCAAGAGGGGGAATCCAAAGATTGCCTCCGAGACTGCCAGACGACCCCCGTGCGGGACGCCGACCGGGTGGTGTTCGACCACGCGCAGCGCGGCAACCAGAAGGCCCTCTCCGACGCGGTGGACAGCGCCTCGCTCGACGGACTTCTGGCGGGCTCCACCCTGGCCGGCAAGGCGCACCTCTCTCTGGTGCAAGCCCCAGGCGCGGCCGCGTGGCTCCAGGCGCCGCCCTGCGAGGCCACCGGCACCGCCTTCCCGCACGGCCTCATGCAGGTCGGCCTGCAGAGGCGGCTGCGAGTCCAGCTCCTGCAGGAGGAGTGCTTCTGCCCAGCCTGTGGCGAGGTGATGGACGTTTTCTGCGACCACGCCCTGGTCTGCGCCTGCCGCGGCGACCGGACCAAACGCCACAACGCCCTGCGCAACCAGGCCTTCTTCGACGCCCTGGCCGCCGGCCACGCCGGGGCGGAGTTGGAGCGCCCGGGGCTGCTACCCGCGCGCCCCGCCGGGGAGGCCACCCCCGGGGGCGAGCAGGGCGGGTCCCAGGTGGACGACAACGGCCGCCGCCCTGCCGACGTCTACCTGCCGCGGTGGCGCAACGGCACGGCGGCCGCCTGGGACTTTGCCGCCACGTCAGGGTTGCGCGCCGATCTCCTCGCCGCGTCGGCCGTTCGTCAAGCGCAGCGACGGAGCGGTACGAGGAGTTCAAAAGGCAGCACCAGGACACCGCGCGGCTCTGCGCGGCACAGGGCTTCACTTTCCTCCCCATGGTGGTGGAAGCCCACGGCGGCGGGTGGGGCCGCGAGGCACGCAGGGCCTTCGGGGTCCTGGCCAAGCGGGTGGCTGACGCCACGGGGGAAGACGCCGCACTGGTTGCGGACCAACATGCCCAGCGACTTTCCGTCTCCCTGCACAGGGAGAACGCGCGGGCGGTGTTGCGGCGCCTTCAGACCCTGTCTGGAGGGGCGGGGGCGGCAGCGGCCCGCCTGGCCGCGGCCACGGCGGCCTCCACGGCAGACGCCGTGTGAGGTGCCCCCTGCGCTGCCTAGCGCACCCCGCCCCCACCCCCCCCACCCGCCCTTGCTGGGCAGCGCGGGCGCCCCCCTCGCCCTTTCGCCAACGTCGCGCCGGCGACCCCTCCCACGCGCCGCCCGGCCTTTCCCCGGCGGGGCGGTGGATGGATCCCGCAGAGGGCAATCCCCACCAAGCCGCATCGCGCTGGGTTCGGGCGGCCACCCCGCCCAGGTCGCCGCCGTAGGGTCCGCAGCCTCGTCGCGGGCGGCTCTTCTCTCCCGGCCCCTGGCCCGGCCTGTCTGCTTGCGGCCGCTGCTTTCTCTCCTCCTTGTCCTCCTCCCCTCCTCCCCCTCCCTTCGCTTCTGCTCGTTGCTTCCCTCCCTTTCCTTTCCTCCTGCTCCCTGCCTGCTGTCTCCGCCTGGCCCGTCTTCTGCCTGCCCGCCCGCCCCGCCGGCCCTGGCCTCCCGCCTGGGCGTTCGTCGTCGTCTGCCTGCTTCTCCCCTCCTCGTCCCCTTCCGCCGGGCAGCACAGCCTGCCCGGAACCAGCGTGGCGGCATAGAATCGCGGATCTCCGCCGCCGAACGAGGCGGCGCCGGCCGCCATTTTAGGGAGGGCACCCCGTCGCCAGCAGGGTGTTTCTTTGGTGGGGATAAGATAGCACAATTTTTTGTTGCCCCCAGGGCGGGGTCTCGCTGCGCGGGTGGTAGCTCCCAGTTCTGCCGTCGACGACGCAGGTGGGCGTCAGACTCAGCGTGCAGGCCCCAAGATGCCCCCAAGGTGCCCCGCGAGGCTCCAAACATGCCCCCGCGAGTTCACAGGCAATGCCAACGATGCTATGATGTGGACTGGCGGATCGAGCGAGACGACGATTGATTAAATGCATGGCGGCAAGTTGCGCAGGGTGTGCTGGCCACAACAGTTGCACAGCAGCGGGCATGATGGAATGCAGAGCGCCGTGGAGGGTGCAGAGTGGAACGTGCTGGAGGATCGAACGCTGCAGTGCTGAAGCCCTGGACTACGATTCCAAAAGCTGGCGTAGATCTCACCAGCTGGGATGAGGAGGAGGAGGAGGAGGAGGCGAAGGCGGAGGCGGAGGCGGAGGCAGAGGCGGAGGCAGAGGCGGAGGCGCGCTTCGGCCTTGCACGGCGGCCCCGTGGCAGGGCCCCCCACGGGCCGAAGTTGCGAGAGGACCCGCGTCGCGACCTCCCTCACGGCACGGGGGGGGTGCTGGTGCTGGGCCCCTCCCCCCCGGAGCCCCTCCCGCCGAGGGAGAAGGCCTCCTCCTCCTCCTCCTCCTCCCTCCCCGACCTCCTCCTCCTCCTCCTCCTCCTCCTCCTCCTCCTCCTCCTCCTCCTCCTCCTCCTCCTCCTCCTCCTCCTCCTCCTCCTCCTCCTCCTCCTCCTCCTCCTCGGGAGAGGAGGGGCAGGAGGCCCAGCCCCTCCGCCAGGCCCACCCGCACCCGGCGGCCCGCGCTCGCCTGCGCCGCGCTGCCGCCGGGGAGCCCGCCCGCGCTGGGCTGCCGCCACAGAGGTCTGGGAGGCTCCCGCGCGGGGGGCGAGCAGAAGCCGCCGCCGACGGCGTCCTTGCCGAGACCGAGGCCTGGCCCCTTGCGCAGAAGGAAGGGGGTCGCCACCAGCTCCGGGTGCAGCTGCGGGGTGCCGACGGGGCCGATGACCGCGTGCACCGGCGGCCGCCTCGCAGCATGAAGAGACTCTGCTGATCCAGGCCTTCCTCCCCTCCAACGCAGCAGGTAGTGCGCACACCCCATGGAATCCCACCAGCACCCTGTGTGCAGGTGGTTTACCTCGTGTGTTGATCCAGTCTCCATCCCCTTCGGGGAAGGGTTTTCAACTGCTCTTCTTAATACCCCCCTCTCCCACCCGGCCAGCGGCCGACCAGGAACCGTGCCGACACCCCCCAAACCATCCCTGTCAATTGCTCGACGCGAAGATCGCTGCATGTACATATCATAGTGATGGTATGCTTCGGTCGAAGACATGGTCCTTTTCAAATATCTGAGTATCAGCGAATCCATGTGGAAGACGAAGCCGGGAGAGAGGCCGACGACTACGACGACTTGAACTCGGCGCTTCCTCCTCCTCTCCTCCTCCCCCTCGTTGTCCTCCTCCTCTTCCTCCTCCGAACTCCGGACGGAGGTGTCCGCAAGTCTCCCGACGCGAAACGATGTGCTGGGGTGAAGAGACGCACGCGAACACCGCCACTGGGGCCTTAGGTGGAGCTCCCGATGGGGCCACGAAACGTTGTGCTGGGTGGGGGAGACGCGTGCGGACACCTTCCACCGCCACTGGGGCCTTTCTTGGGCACCCAAACAGGCAAACCGCCTGAGACATCCCCACAATCTGGGCGCGAATCCTGGAGTGTCCTGACCCCTGCAGCCCCCCCTTGGCTACGGGGCAGTGCACCACGACACATGGAACAACTGTACGTTGCAAGTGTCCCGAGATGTGGCATGGAGAAGCTTGAGCGGTTCATCTGGTGGTGGGTATACCTGCTCCTGGTTGGAACACCCACGGCCGTGCGATTGGAGGTCACAAGCCGAAAATTCATCGTCGTGCCATCCGCTCAGAGCGATAATTTCTTCCCTGGATGGATGTGGCGCGCGTCGACTGTGAACAGTGCGAACATGGTCAGCCCTCGCGGGATCTCACATCTTTGTATTGCGAACGATGGGCTTGCATCCTCGGCCTGTTGCCCCCCTGGCAGCGGGGGCAAGTGCTCACAGAGGCGCACTGGACACGAGACCTTGCCCTGCATTGATTCGACCCGTGGGGGGTGCAGAACCTTTCGAAAGCTGGGCGAGGGCTGCTAAAACCGTGGCTGCTAAAACGGCCCTCCCGGAAGAAAAAAACAACTTCCCCGAATGAGGCGCGGCACGCGAAACAGTCAACGGGCTTCTTCCCGGAAGGACGCAGACAACTTCCCGGAGGTCGATTTTAGCAACCACGGATTTAGCAGCCCTTGCCCGGCTTCTGAACGACAACGAAAACTATCACTCCCCAGGATGTGGGCAAGTGTATAGGACGACTCGACTGCAAATGCTGCACAACAGATGTGGAAACCGTGCGACGATCACGCGTCCCCGGCCGACAGGCACGAGGGGAGGAGCCCGGTGCAGAGTTGCCTCGCTGTTGCACTGTGAATTGGGATCCCTGCTGGGGGGGGAGGCGGGGGGGAGAATGGGGGGAGGAGGAGGAGGGGGGGGGGGGAGGAGGAGGAGGAGGAGGACGAGGAGGATGAAGAGGAGGAGGAGGAGGAGGAGAGAGGAAGGTTGGGTTCCACCCCTTGATTCGAGCATGATGTCGCGGCGGTGAACACGACGAGCTTGAGAGGATTGCGCCCCCCGCCGAAAGCCTATTGTCAAGGACGCCGTAGCCACTTTGGCTCAAGCCGTTTCCTCTCGCCCTTCTCCATTGCCGTTTCCGGTCGATGGCGGCGGCGCTGGCAAGAGGACGTGTCGTTTGAGGTGATGCTACGGGAGGGCGGGGGCGTTGCCCGCCCACGGCGCACAGCCGACGAGCGACGCGCGGCGCGGGAGTGGGCGCGGCACTCTGCGGACCGTGCTGTGCAGAAACTCTCGGAGGAACTCGGGCGCACCCGCGGGCAATTGGCTGCCGCGGAGGCGGCGCTGGGCGCTGTGGCTGGCTGCGGCGAGGAGGGTCAGCGCCTGCGGGCGCTGCTGCCCGCCCTGCAGGCGAAGCTGGCTGGGCGCGCGCCGTCATGGCGCGATCTCCTGCGCAGGAACGTCGCCGTGCACGCGGACGCCGACGGCATCGACGCGGCGACGGCCGGAGCAGTGGCGCTGAGGCGAGCCCCCAGAGAGGCCCTCGCCTGGAGGCGCGGCTGCATGCCAATAGCGATTCGTCGGCGATGGACGACTTCGTTACTTCGCGAGCTGAGGCTCCAGAATTCGTCCCCGCAGCGGGACGCTGGGAGCCACTGGCCGCCTGTGCCGCTCTGCCCTCGGGTCTCCTCTGCACGTGCGGCGCGGTGGTCTTCGGCTCCCCGGAGATCGAGACTTCCGAGGGCGAGGAGTTGGCCGCGGTGAAGGCCGCCTCGCAGCAGCACGCTGCTCGCGGGCTGGAGGAGCATCCCACTGCGGGGGTCCCTCCCCCCCCCCCCCCTGTGGACGGCTCTGAGGAGGGGTTGCTGCCACCGTCACAGACTCGACGGAGAGCCGGGCGAGGTGCCCAGAGGTCGCGTCCGACAAAGTGGAGCTTCGCCGCCGACTGCCGATTGCACCCCAAATCGTCTGGACGGGCGCGATCTTGCAGACCATGCATCCTGTTCTGCTCGGAATTGGATGAACCGACCGAAGACGTGTATTACCACAGCTGTTTCTTTGGGCACTTTCGAGAAGACTGAAACAGAGACGTGGTAACCATAGTACCAGCTAGCTTTGCATCCTCTTGCAGTCAGGCTGTCAATGCACCTTGTTGCATCACACTATGAATGTGGTTGGGCGCTGGCTGTTGTGAGTGTTATTGTATTCTGCAGAGCATAACCGTTGTGGCAGGTGCACGTCTATTGGTATGTATGCGCATGTTCATTTTCACGGTGCCCCTGTTTTCAAAGAAATTATTATGTTTTTGTTTCTGATGCGCAGCCCCGTTCGATCATGGATTGGTGGAGGTCAAGAGAGAGCCACTGGACAAACTATTGTCCAGGAGGCAGATGTCGGGGCCACGCCGAGGCCAGTAGGCCCCCCCTCAGGCAGATTACGAGGAATATGGACTGGCTCAGGAGTTTCTCGGTGCCTCTCGGACGTCAGCTTCTCAGGATGCCACATTGCGTGTTCCACCTCCCTCCGTTCCTACACCCCTGTCCGACGAGCTTCCTGATCGCATCGCTCGGAATAGGAGCGAGCGCGCATACGATGCGCTACTCGAGCCGAGGCAGAACGCACGCAAAGGCTCTTGGCAGTGGCGCATTGGAATCCGGATCCCGAAGTCGGACTGTTCGACAGGGCTCGATATTATCAGCCCTCAAATGTTTCTGACTCGCGTGGAGTGTAAGGAGCTGCTGCAACGCTGCTGTTTGGCCCTAAATCATTCTCAGGTGTCCGTGCAACGGGAGGAGGGTGATCTCTGCTGCGCGCTCCGCTGAGGAAGCGGGTGAGTTGTGCTGCACGCTCCGCCGAGGAAATGGGCGATTCGTGCGGCGCACCTGCCGCATGTGGATGGTGCCCCCCCCTCCTCCTCCTCCTCCTCCTCCTCCTCCTCCTCCTCCGCCTCCTCCTCCTCCTCCTCCTCCTCCTCCTCCTCCTCCTCCTCCTCCTCCTCCTCCTCCTCCTCTCCTCCTCCTCCTCCTCCTCCTCCTCCTCCTCCTCCTCCTCCTCCTCCTCCTCCTCCTCCTCCTCCTCCTCCTCCTCCTCCTCCTCCTCCTCCTCCTCCTCCTCCTCCTCCTCCTCCTCCTCCTCCTCCTCCTCGCCTCCTCCTCCCTCCTCCTCCTCCTCCTCCTCCTCCTCCTCCTCCTCCTCCTCCTCCTCCTCCTCCTCCTCCTCCTCCTCCTCCTCCTCCTCCTCCTCCTCCTCCTCCTCCTCCGCCTCCTCCTCCTCCTCCTCCTCCTCCTCCTCCTCCTCCTCCTCCTCCTCCTCCTCCTCCTCCTCCTCCTCCTCCTCCTCCTCCTCCTCCTCCTCCTCCTCCTCCTCCTCCTCCTCCGCCTCCTCCTCCTCCTCCTCCTCCTCCTCCTCCTCCTCCTCCTCCTCCCTCCTCCTCCTCCTCCTCCTCCACTCCTCCTCCTCCTATCCTCCTCCTCCGCCTCATCCTCCTCCTCCTCCTCCTCCTCCTCCTCCTCCTCCTCCTCCTCCTCCTCCTCTCGAGTATGGCCCGGAAGCACCAGCGTCTCTCTGGTCTGTGGTGGTGCTCGCATCCACAGGTCTCTACCGCCCACCCACTTGCTTGAGCAGGGCTCTCGCCCAGAACTCAGCTGCCACTCGGTCGTAATCAGCCAAAGTCAGCTTGCGGGCGCTCATTCGCCTCCGAGCTTCAGCGCGCATGAGAAGGAAAGAGGAGTGCGAGGAGGTTGCCCACCTTGTGCACCTGCCCCCCCTTCCCTTGCATGCGCTAGGGATGCCCAGCACGCGAGTCTAGCAGTCACAGCAGGCCAATCAGGTTTCATCCTTGCGGCTCCAGCCTCCTTTTGCACCGCCACGCAGTTGCTGACAGCAGAAGTCAACAGGAACGCCAGGATGGTGCCCACGAGCAGTTTTGACTTGTCTCTGCTGCTACTGCTGCTGCTGCTGCTGCTGCTGCTGCTGCTGCTGCTGCTGCTGGAACCTCGTCGTCCATCATGCATCGTCGCACTGTGTTTGTCCCCCGTCAGCTACCAGTCGCCGTGCAATACTGGCTGCACACTGCCCATCTGAGCTTGATTTCTCTAGCGCCCACCTCAATAATATGCGCATTGTGGATTCTGCGCTGCTCAGGCCAATGGTGCTGCAGTCTTCTGGCTGCCGTGACTTCAGTTAACCAGTTTTGCAATCCAAAACAAACCCTCCCCCCTCTTCCCTCCAACCCTCTCCATCACTCCCTCCCTCCCTTCCTCTGTCCATCTGTCAAGCCCACGAGCGGCGGGGGCAGCTGCCTGGGCAACCTGAGGTTGGCTTGAGATTCCATGTCGCCGAGCAGGAGCCTCTCTGTTTTCTGCCTCTGCTCAATACGCCGCATCGCGTCGTTATAGAGCCTGCGAGCGCAGGGAGGAAGCAGGGGAAGGGCGGGAGGGGCCGCAGGTCACGATGGTGGGAGGACGGGGGACGGGAGGGGCATCGCACGCATCTGCGGAAAAGACGCGTGCCAATTACTGAGTGCTGCGCCAGTGCGCGCCATGCAGCAGCTCGACTCTCGGGATGATCCGTGCACGTGGAGGTGGGCGGGCCCGACGGGCGCAGCCTCTGAGAGCGTGGCAGAGCAAGCAGCGGGGTGCCACGCTCCTTGGAGATCCCCTCGGTGCAGCTGATCTCTCCCCCTTCAGGCCGGTCCGCCCGACAGTGGAGGAACGGAGGAATGGAGCGAGGTGCGCGACGAGGTGACGGAGGCGAGGACAGGCGAGGCAGAGCGCGATCGGGGTCGAGGGGGGGCGGGGAAGGGGCGAACCATAGCAAGGCGCCCCAATCGGGGCCCAGGATGTGCATCCGACGGGTTGCACCACCCGCTCGCGAGCGCTTTCAGGACCGACTCGAAACGTCACGGCCGAGAGCCGACCAGGATCGATTTCAGGGCGCTCCTCCCTCCTCCTCCGTCTCCTCCTCCTCCTCCTCCTCCTCCTCCTCCTCCTCCTCCTCCGCCTCTGACTCCTCCTCTTCCTCCTCCTCCTCCTCCTCCTCCTTCTCCTCCTCCTCCTCCGCCTCCACCTCCGCCTCCGCCTTCGCTTCCTCCTCCTCCTCTTCCTCCTCCTCCTCCTCCGCCTCTGCCTCCGCCTCCGCTCCGCCTCCGCCTCCGCCTGCCTCCGCCTCCGCCTCCGCCTCCGCCTCCGCCTCCGCCTCCGCCTCCGCCTCCGCCTCCGCCTCGCCTCCGCCTCCGCCTCCCTCCGCCTCCGCCTCCGCCTCGCCGTCCGCCTCCGCCTCCGCCTCCGGTCTCCGCCCCGCCTCCGCCTCCGCCTCCGCCTCCGCTCGCCTCCGCCTCCGCCTCCGCCTCCGCCTCCCGCCTCCTCCTCCTCCTCCTCCTCCTCCTCCTCCTCCTCTCTCCTCATCCTCCCCTCCTCCTTCCGTTCCCCTCCTCCCTCCGCCCTCCCCTCTCCTCCTCCTCCTCCTCCTCCTCCTCCTCCTCTCCTCCTCCTCCTCCTCAAACGCCTCCTCCTCCTCCTCAACGCCTCCTCCTCCGCGCCTCCTCCTTCGCCTCCGCCTCCGCCTCCGCCTCCGCCTCCGCTCCGCCTCCGCCTCCGCCTCCGCCTCCGCCTCCGCCTCCGCCTCTCCGCCTCCGCCTCCGCCTCCGCCTCCGCCTCCGCCTCCGCCTCCTCCGCCTCCGTCCTCCTCCTCCTCCTCCTCCTCCTCCTCCTCCTCCTCCTCCTCCTCCTCCTCCTCCTCCTCCTCCTCCTCCTCTCCTCCTCCTCCTCCTCCTCCTCCTCCTCCTCCTCCTCCTCCTCCTCCCTCCTCCTCCTCCTTCCTCCTCCTCCTCCTCCTCCTCCTCCTCCTCCTCCTCCTCCTCCTCCTCCTCCTCCTCCTCCTCCTCCTCCTCCTCCTCCTCCTCCTCCTCCTCCTCCTCCTCCTCCTCCTCCTCCTCCTCCTCCTCCTCCTCCTCCTCCTCCTCCTCCTCCTCCTCCTCCTCCTCCTCCTCCTCCTCCTCTCTCAACGCACCCAGTACACGGGTGCCTACTGGAACGCGGTTCGGGAGCATTGTTGGAAGCATTGTGGCAGTATCTGGAGCCTCTCTGGGCCTTCCTCTGGAGTCCTTTGGGGCCTTTGCTGGCATGTCTGAAGGCCCATTTCGGCCGTTCCGGGTCCCTCTTGGCTCGTCGTGGGGAGCACAGCCCGTCTTGGAGCCCTCCTGGGGTGGAATCCTCTGGTGGCCCCTTCGGGCTTCCTGGGCGCTCTCTTGGGCCGTCTTATAGCCCTTTTGTGCCGCTCGAAACTCTCTTCAACCCATCTTGGAACCCTCTTTGGGGCCTCTGGGGCCGTCTGAGGCCCATTTTGGTAACCTTTAAGGCCGTCGCGACCGCTGGTAGAACAGAAAAGCGAAGCGCCCAGAAATATACGCTTTTCCCTGGGAAATGGAATGCATGACTTTTGCCTTTGGAGGGCCTTCTCAGCGGCCTCTTGGATAGACGGGGGGGGGTCATTTTGGGCCACTTGTGGCCCGTCTGGGAGCCCTTTTCGGCTGTCCCAAGCCCCTCTTTGCATGCCATGGGTAGCTGAGCCGTCTTGAGGCCCTCATGTGGGCCTCTCCGACCCATGTAGGGATCCTCTGGTGGCTCCCTCGGGCCCCTCTGGGGACTCTCTCGGGCTGTTCTGGAGTTCTCTTGTGCTGCTCGACGCTCTCTTGAGGCTGTCTTGGGGCCCTCTCTTGGGAACCTCGTGGACCGTGTGGCGCCTACTTGGGGAGCCTTTGGGGCCGACGTGGCCGCCGATGGAACATAAGAAGCGAATCCCATAGACATGTACGTTTTTCAATTGGAAATGCTGTTTTTTTGCACCCGGGAGCCTTCCCAGCGGCCTCATGGACAATCTTCAGGGAGTCCTGGTCGGCCTTTTTGGGACTCCCTGGGTGCCCAGTTCGGCCGTTCCGGGTCCCTCTTCGCCCGTCATGGGGACCTGAACCCGTTTTGGGGCCCTCGGGGGACCCTCTCCAAACGTGTCGGGATCCTCTGGTGGTCCCCTCGGGGATTCTGGATACTCCCTTGGGCCGTGTTGGAGCTCTTTTGTGCTGCTCGAAGCTCTCCCCAGGCCGTCTGGGGGCCCTCTTGGGGGCCTCTTGGGCCGTCTGGGGCTCATTTTGGGAGCCTCTCTCTGGGGCCGTCGCGGCCTCTGGTAGGACTGAAAAGCAAATATCAACGAAACATACGCTTCCCCATAAAAGGAAATGCTTGTGTTTTGCCCCTGGAAGGCTTTCTCGGCGGCCTCTTGGAGCGTCTTGAATGCCTTCGTGGCCGTCTAAGCGGTCCTGGGCTGTCTTCGAATGTTTGTGGCCCGTCCTGAAGCCATCTCACTGCGCTCTTCAGCCACCTTCCAGACAACCTGGGGCGCCTTGGGCGCCCCTTGCGCCAGCTTGGGAGCCTCTGGGGGGGTCCAGAACCCCTTCTGAAACCCCTGGGGGTCCTCAAGGCCTCCCCGGCCCCCAATGCGAACCAGAGGTGCCAGTTCCGGGCCCTCCCCCGGCCTACTCCTACATATATACATATGTGTATATATATATATATATGGAGAGAGGGAGAGAGATTATCCCAGTGCGACCCTACCTAGGAGTTGGGGCATTTAGGAAAGCAACATCTACATCTACACCGACAGCTACATTTACATCTACACCTGCATCTACATCTACATCGACATCAACAGCGAGACTCACATCTACATCTACATCTACACCTACATCTACACCTACATCTACATATACATCCACTTCTACACCCACATCCACATCTACACCTACACCTACATCTACACCTAAATCTACATATACAATTTCGCATTGGTGTTGCTGTTGCTTTGCATTGCCTTTGCGTTTGCTCTTGCCGTTGAGTTGGCCTTTGTCTTTGCTTTTGATGTTGAAGTTGATGTTGTTTTGCTTTTGTGTTGGTTTATGCTTGAGTTGGGTGTTTGCGTTGCCTGCGCACAGACACACACACACATACGCATGTTTTCGCATGCGCTAATGATATGCTATGATGTGATATGTTGCGCTAGGCGATGCTATGCTATAAAATGGTGCGCTATGATATGTTGTGATATGCTCGGTTGCGCGATGCTATGCTATGCTATGCGATGTTGCGCTATGGTGTGCTGTGCTAGGCTAAGCTATGCTGTGCGATGGTGTGCTATGATATGTTATGATATGATATGCGAGGCTATGACAGGATGCGCTACGGTATGCTACGATATGAGATGTTAAGATATGATATGGTGTGTTATAATATGATATACTGCGATGTGCTATGATAAGCAGTGCTATGTTATGATATGATATGACATGCTGCGCTATGATATGCTATGCTATGATGTGTTTGGCGATGTTGCCCTATGCTATGCTTGGCTATGCTATGCTATGCTATACTGTGCGAATGCTGCACTGCGCTATGCTGCGCTGCGCTGCGCTAAGCTAAGGTAAACTATGCTAAGCTAAGCTACGCTGCACTACGCTAAGCTAGACTAGGCTAGGCTAGGCTAAGCTAAGCTAAGCTTAGATAAGCCAGGCTAAGCTAAGCTAAACTAAGCTAAGCTAAGCTAAGCTAGTATAATCTAAGCTAAGCTAGACTAAGCTAAGCTAGGCTAAGCTAAACGAAGCTAGGCTAGGCGAGGCAAAACTAAGCTAAGCTAAGCTAAGCTAAGCTTAGCTTAGCTTAGCTTAAATGGGTGAACCCAGGGGGCGCAACTGGGGAAACCGCGGGGCGGATGCCGGGGGAACCGCCCGGGGCGAGCCCCACTGCCCGACCCCTTTCAGCACACGCAGTAAGAACCCTGCTAGGCAGAGCCTAGGTAAGGAACAAGACTGCATTGGAGCTTCGCGCCATACGCCTTTTCCGGACGCTTCCCCAGCAAAACCATACATCACCGTTTGCTTCAACAGGGGGGACCTCGAGGCCTGGACGGGCGACTGGCTCAATTTTTCTTATATCCCTGGTGCTTGCTGACACCGCGTTCGCCCGGCTCGTTTGCACGATTGTGCGCAGGACTGGGGAAGGAATGCTGATTTTTTCGACCGCGACGGTGCTGGTAAACGACGAAGCATTAAACTGTTGCGATGGCACTCGTTCTTGAACGGGGAACGGGAAGGGCGCAGGGATGAAGGGGAGACTGAAGAGGCGGAAGGGGGAGGAGGGGGGGAGACCTGTCCGTCTCGATCGAGGAATTTGAACCTCGAGCCTCAAGCGTGGAACCAAAATCTTGGGGTCAGCTCGATGTACTTCGTAGAATAACGCCGTCTGTGCGTTTTTGTGACTCTTTTGGGTCGTCCTGGGGCCCTGTTGGACCGTCCTGGAGCCTTCTTGGACCGTCTTGGGGAGCTGGGGCCCTCCAGAGGTCTCCTGAAGCCATCTAGGGCCCTCTTGGGGGCCTCCAGTGGCCTTCTCGGGGGTCTCCCATGGCTTTCGATGGTCTCTCTTTGGAGCCTTCTGGGAACATCTGAGCTTCTTGTGGCCAGTCTTGGGGCTCTCTGGGGCAGTCTTGGGGCCCTCTTGGGCCGTCTTCAAACACTCTGGAGGTCCTCTGGGACCGTCCTGGGGCGATATCTGGGGCCCATCGGGCCACCTTGGACGCTCTAACGATCGCTATCACCATCTACCGATCGACCGCTACCTGTCGATGTCACGAGCAACCCCACTATCGACGATCGACCTGACGATCTCACCATTTACCAGTCGATGTCCGTATCTCTCCATGGGGACCATCAGCGCATAAAGTCTTGAATGTTGCCAAAAACGAAAGCGTCGAAAGCGCCGAGTGCAATTTGCTGCTGGAATACATCGGGACAACCATTGGAATAACCATCGGGACATCCATCGTCACAGCCATTGGGACAACCATCGGGACAATTATCGGGACAGCCATTGGTACAACCATCGGATGAACCATCGAGACAACCATCGGGACAACAACGCAAGTACGCACGCTAGCCACTATGCTGGCAAGCCATAAAGTGCGCATGCAAACGAGAAGAGCAGCAAGCAGTCACAACAGTAAGACGACAGTCGTGCCTGCGAGCACGCAAGAAGTTAAACAACCGTTTCGGTGACGCAAGCAACCTTCCAAGCGCGAAAACATGTATATAACTGAGCAGGTAAGCTGACAGCCATGCAAGCAAACACGCAAGTACGCATGCAAGGAAGCGGGTGCAAGGGCAAAGAGTGGAAAGAGTTGAGCGGGCCAGTCAAGAGAGGCGCAATGGGTTTGAGGAACAATGTGCGGAGCATGACGGCACGTAGCGCCGCCTGAGGCTAGAAGGGGAGCACGCGCAGGCAGCCTCAAGAAGCAATTGAACCTCATGCTGCCGACGGTTTTCGACACATCGGCCTCATTCAAGATCTCCTGCATCAAAGCGAAGTCCACACCCTTTGCTTCTCCTCCCGGTCCAATGCTGCATAATACTACGCGAAAACAGACATTGGCAATAGTGGAGAGGCGAGCCGGAAGGGGTACTTGCGAGAGCCGAGGGGAGCAACATTCATTTAACTCGGATGCAACTCCAATAACAGCCCATAATGAAGATACGTAGTGTAATGAAGCGAAGTGTTATTCAGCTCGCACTCGTAGCAGCACGCACCCTCCTCATCGTCCTCATGCGCCACCGAGGTCCAGCAAGCATCGGAACGTCAAAAAGCACATCCTGCGGGCTTCCAGCGAGTCGGACTGGGCTGGCATTGTATATGCGTTCTACGCCTTATGCGTGATGCAACCAACAATAAGAGAGACTGGCCAAACGGAGGAAGTGGAACACGTGGAGTAGGGAAGCAGGTGAAGTGAACAGAGGCCGAGGCGGATATCTAATCGCCAGCAGCTGCAACGTACGCAGTCAAACCAAGAGCGGCGTTGACAACAGGCTAGGAGACGATGGGGAAACGAGGGAGAAAGACTGAGAAAGAGAGATGGAAAGAGAGAGAGAGAGAGGAAGAAAAGCAAAACAACAATACAAACAGACTGGTGATATTGAGAGGAGGCAGGGGTCCCTCCACACAGGGAGGGTCGGGAGCAGTGGGACTGTCGCAGAGGGCAGAGATACAGAGAGAGAGGGAAATAACAAAAAAACGAGGTGGGAGAAATAAGGAAAGGAATCAAATGATTCGGGGTTTAAGGGGAGAGAGAGACAGTAAAGAGAGAGAGAGAGAGAAACACAATAAAAATATGATCGACCCACGAACCCGGAAAGAAATATGGAAATGTGAGGCATGGCAACGTGTTCACGACACCTGATTGGGCGACAGCCAATTGCTATGCTCAAAATATCGATCTTGGTGTACCGTGCCCAGGGCCATGCTGTCCAATGCCGTGCTGAACTGCGATGTGTCATGCCGCGATTGTGCTATATGTCGTTGTGGTTCGAGTCCTCGTTGGCATTCGAGTCCTGACCGAACGGATCTGGATCTTAAGCTCAAGCTGCCTGAGCGCAGAATAGCCGCCCCAGAGCTAGTTGAAGTGGAAGAATGGAGGACGTTCAATGAACTCGACCTCAAAATCCGACTCAGCTCCGAAAAGGAACGGCACGACACGGGGCATAGGCTCACACAAGCGCCACAGGATGTGCCAGGGGCGCAATAGGGGATGCCCCGGGGGACGTGTCAGGGGACGTATCAGGGGACGTGCCCTGGACGTGTCAGGTACCTGGCACGGGACGTGCCAAAACGCGTGCCATGGGGCGGCCAGAGGACGTCATGTCAAGGGACGTTGAAAGGGCGCGCCACGAAACGGGTAAGGGAAACGCCTGGGGACGAGCAAGGAAACGCGACAGAGGACGAGCCGGGGAACGTGCCACGCCGAGTGGCGTGCGAGGGGACGTGCCAGGGCACGTCACGCCTGAATGTCGCAAGGGGCGCGCCAGGGGGCACGCCAGGGCGCCAGGAGACGTCGCACGGACGGGCGGGGTTGGACTGCGACGCACTCTACTGTGACAAGCGTTTCGCTCGAGACCTCCTCAACACGTCCTCCTCATGTTAGACATGCGCCTGGGCGACCTGGACACGAGAAACCAAGCTTCTTGTTCGAGACATCCTCAACACCTCCTCATGCTAGACATCTGCCTGAACGACCTGGACACGTGAAACCAAGCGTTTCGCTCGACACATCCTCAACACATCCTCATGCTAGACATACGCCTGGGCGACCTGGACATGCGAAAACGAGCGGTTCGCTCGAGACATCCTCCGAACATCTTCATGTTAGACATCCGACTGGGCGTTCTGGGCCCGTGAAAACAAGCATTTCGCTCAACACAGCCTCAACGCATCCTCATAGTAGACATCCGCCTGGGCGACCTAGACACGTGAAAACCAAGCGTCTCGCTCGAGGCCTTCTCCTGGGTGGCCTGACACGCGACAACGAGCGGCTCTCTCGAAACATCCTCAACACTTCCTCATGCTAGACATCCGCCTAGGCAATCTGGACACGCGAAAACCAGCGGTGCGCTCGAGACATCCTCCGATCATCTTCATGTTAGACATCCGACTGGGCGACCTGGGCACATGAAAATTCGCCGGCCCAACGGGCCAGAGGCGTGCTAAGATCTCCGGTAACTGGTTAAGAATTCTCTAGTTCGCGCGCGCGGGGCGGCCCCTGGGGGTCCCCGGACGAAAAGTACCCCGGCAAGGTCCTGAGAGAGTCCCGGGAGGAGTCCCCCAGAGCGCTCCAGGAGCGCTCCATGAGCGCACCAACAGGGCTCCGAGACGTCCCCGAGAGCCCCAAGAAAGGCCAAGAGGCCCCCAAGAGGCCCCCAAGATGGTACACGAGGGGTCCGACATGCCACAAGATCGCTCCAAGACGCCCAAGATAGCCCCCAGACGCCCCAAGAGGCCTCCCAGAGCACTCCCAAGAGGGCCCCCGGAGGCAAAATTCATTGTTTTTCCTTAGGTTTTTGAGAGATTTTGGAGCTTCCACCTTTTCGGTTCCCGACGCCCCAAGACGGCCCCAGAGGCCCCCAAGATCGCCCCAAGAGGGCCCAAGAGGCCCCCAAGAGGGCCCCAAGATGGCCCAAGAGGGCTCGAAGACGGCCCAAGAAGCCTCCAAGACGGTCCAAGAGGGCCCCAAGAACACCCCCAAAGGGGCCCCAGAGAGGGAACACGACACAAAATTTCGCGCCCTCGGCCCTAAGAAGCCCCTACGAGGCCCCAAGAGGCCCCTAAGAGGCCCCAAGAGGCCCCCACGAGGCCCTCAGGAGGCCCCCAAGAGTCCCCCAAGCGGCCCCAGGAGGCCCCCCAAATGCCCCCCGAGCGCCCCAGGAGTCCCCCAAGCGGCCCCAGGAACCCCCAAAGCGCCGCATTGACACCAGGCCCTCGGGCAAACGGCAGACATGAGACCGTATGGGCCGGCGGAATGAGCGAAGCGATTCAATAAGCGTTTCGCTCAACACAGCCTCAACGTATCCTCATGCTAGACATCCGCCTGGGCGACTTGGACATGCAAAAACAAGCGTCTCTCTCCCTCACAAGCGTCTCGCTCGAGACATCCTCAATATACCCTGATGCTAGACATCTGCCTGGGCAACCTAGAGGCGTGAAACCAAGTGTATCGCTCGAGACGTCCTCAAGACCTGGGCACGTAAAAACAAGCATTTCGCCTGAGACATCTTCTGAATTCTGAACCCCAGGAGAAGAACGATCTATAGCACAAAACAAATGTTTCGCTCGAGACATCCTCAACAAATCCTGAAAAACAAACGTTTCGCTCGAGACATCCGCAACAAACGGAAATGCTTACTTTACCCAGCGTTTTATCGATCGGAATTTCAAACACCAGCCTTTCGCTAGGGACATCCTCAAATGTTAATTCGCCGGCCCTACGCGGCCTCGTTCTTTATCGCAGATCAAAATCTCCGGCCCTTCGCAAGTCGAGGCAAGGGGGAAACCATGAACATGATCGACACACGAACCCGGAAAAGAGTATAGACATGTGAGGAATGGCAACGTTTTCAAGACACCTGCTTGGGCGACGGGCAATTGCAATGCTGAGTGTATCGATCTTGATGTACCGTGCCAAGGGCTGTACTGTGCCACCCCGTGCTGAATTACGATGTGCCATGCCGCGATTGTGCCCTATAACGTTGTAGATCGAGTCCTCCTTTGAATCCGAGTCCTGATCGAACTGATCTGAATCTTAAGCTCGGGTTGCCTGAGCACACAGTAGCTGCTCCAGAGCTAATTGACAAGAGGACATGCCAGGGGAACGCGCCGCGAAACGTCCCGAGGGACGCGCCAGGGGACGTGCCAGGGGACGTGCCATGGGGACGCACCGCGGGACGTGCCAAAGGAACGCGCTACGGAACGTGCCAATGCACGTGCCACGGGACGTGCCAAGGGACGCGCCGCGCGACGTGCCAGGGGGACTCGCCACGGGACACGCCACGGAACGTGCCAGGGAACGTGCCAGGTTGCAATGCTGAGTGTATCGATCTTGATGTACCGTGCCAAGGGCTGTGCTGTGCTGCACCGTGCTGAGTTACGATGAGGCAAGCCGCGATTGTGCTCTATAGCGCTCCTTTGAATCCGAGTCCTGACCGAACTGATCTGGATCGTAAGCTCGAGCTGCCTGAGCACACATTAGCTGCCCCAGAGCTAATTGACAGGGTGACATGCCAGGGGAACGCGCCGCGGAACGTCCCGAGGGACGCGCCAGGGGACGTGGCAAGAGACGTGCCATGGGGACGCACCGCGGGACGTGCCAAAAGAACGCGCTACGGAACGTGCCAATGCACGTGCCACGGGACGTGCCAAGGGACGCGCCGCGCGACGTGCCAGGGGGACTCTCCACGGGACGCGCCACGGAACGTGCCAGGGAACGTGCTAGGCGACGCGCCAGGGAACGTGCCAAGGAGCGCGTCAGGGAACGTGCCACGGGACGTCCCTGACCCAGCGCCAGGGCGCCAGGGGACGCCCCATGGACAGGCGGGGTTGGACTGCGACGCACTTTACTGCGACAAGCGTTTCGCTCGAGACATCCTCAACACATCCTCATGTTAGACATCCGCCTGGGAGACCTGGACACGTGAAACCAAGCGTCTCGCTCGAGACGTTCTCAACACATTCTCATGCTAGACATCTGCCAGAGAAACCTGGACTCGTGAAACCAAGCGTTTCTCTCAACACACCCTCCACACATCCTGATGCTCGACATCCACCTGGGCGACCTGGACATGCGAAAATGAGCGTCTCGCTCGAGATATCCTCAACACATCTTCAGGTTAGACATCCGCCTTGGCGACCTGGACACGTGAAACCAAGGGTTTCGCTCAACACATCCTCGACACATCCTCATGCTAGACATCCGCCTGGGCGACCTGGGCACCTGAAAGCAAGCGTCTCGCTCGAGGCATCCTCAACACATCTTCATGTTAGACACCTGCATGGGCGACCTGGGCACGTGAAAACAAGCGCTTCGCTAGAGACCTTCTCAATACCTCCTCATGCTAGACATCCAGTGCGCGACCTGGACATGTGAAAACAAGCGTCTCACTCGAGACATCCTCAACAATCCTCATATTAGACATCCGCCAGGGCTACTTGGACACGTGAAAACAAGGGTTTCGCTCGAGACATCCTCAACTAATCCTCATGCTAGACATCCGCCAGGGCGACCTGGACACGTGAAAATAAGCGTCTGTCTCGAGACATCCTCAACATATCCTCATGCTAGACATCTGCATGGGCGACCTGGACACGCGAAAACAAGCGTCTCGCTCGAGACATCCTCCACATATCCTCATGCTAGACATCTGCCTGGGCAACCTGGAGGCGTGAAACCAAGCGTCTCGCTCGAGACATCCTCAAGACCTGGGCACGTGAAAACAAGCATTTCACCAGAGACATCCTGTAAATTCTGGTCCCCAGGAGAGGAAAAATCTATAGCACAAAACAGACGTTTCGCTCGAGAGGTCCTCAACAAATTCTGACAGGCAAGCGTTTCGCTGGAGGCATCCGCAACACACAAAAATGCTTACTTTACCCGGCGTTTTAGCGATCGGAATTTCAAAAACCAGCGTTTCGCTAGAGACATCCTCAAAATTCAAGTCCGCCGGTCCTACTCGACCTCGTAATTCATCGCAAAATGATTTCGCCGGCCCTACGCAAGTCGAGGCCTGGGGTAAACATCGAAAAGAGAATCCTGAGCCAGAGCCCTTTCAGGCAAGTAGAGAACCCTGGGCCCCTGCCCTTTCCACGAACAAGAGAGAGCACGAGTCGGACCACGGGTCTCAGCGTCGGCGGGACTAGCGCGCCGCGCGCCAAGCTCGATTTCCCGGGGTCCCTCCCTCCCTCCCTCCCCCCCTCCCTCCGCCTCCTCCGGATAGCCGCGCAGGTTTCCCTCGCACTTCGTTAGCGCAAAGAATACAACGACCTCTCCGAGGTATCACGCAGCTGTTCATTTGCATACTCTTGCACGCCACCGCAAAGGTACACTACGAGCTGCCGAATCATCTGCCGATGCACCGTCTAGGCGCGGCCTTTTCCTGTCCTGTCCAAAGCGGAGGCCGAATCAGGACGCGGGAGGAGGATCCGCCTCAGCTTTTCGTACAAAGGTTCGCAAAGAGGCGCAGAAACTAGACGTCAACCATAAATTATGGTTGACGTCTGGCTTCTGCGCCTCTCCGCTGTCACACAGAAATCTGGAGTCAACCACACAAGCATCTGGGGCGCTCCAACGGGAAGTCTTTCAACCGATTGAAGAAGAGGAAGATCCGAAAGGGAATGCGAATGCGCCCTGTGAGTGTCACTGTATGCTCTCACACGTCCCTGGTCAAGGCAATTCGCATGAGGATCGGTTCTGCAAGGGCGGGTGGGGGAACACAATACGCAAAGCGTCAACAAGTGACAGCGACTGCTGCCGGGCAGCCAACGTTTGCCACTCGGCGGGTCGTGGCCAGCGGCAGCACTAGCAAGAAGCCGAGCTGACAACGAGCAGGACACGGCGCCAACTGCCGCAAGAGCTCGCACCGTCCACCTTTCTTCTGCAACCACGACTCCTGCCTCCCTCTCGCCTCCCCTGCCCATCCTCCCCCCCGCCCCCATTCCATCCTCTCCCTCCCGCCCCCCCCCCCAGGCCCGCTCGCAAGCCCGCACGCCCCGTGCCCTCGACTCCTACGGCTTCGAGGCGGCCGATGTTCGCCTTCAGGGTGGACAGCGTCTCCTCCCGATCTGCCTCTCGACTTCCACTCCAGCCGCCCCCCCTGCCTCGCCCAGAGCTTCCCTGAAAATCTCCCCTCTCCTGCTGCTGGAAGGGAGGGGGGGGGGATACGGGAGTGCGGGAACGGGAAAGAGCAGGAGTGCAGGAGCGGGGAAGGAAGGGCCCGGGAGGGCAGGGGTGGGGCGTGGAGGCGAAGTGCGGGGGGGGGGGGGGGGGCGGAGAGCCCTCTTCCTGCACGCACCCCCCCCGCCTCTGCACTTCTTTCCCCCAGCTCCCCCCCCCCCCTGCACTGCGCCCTGGACAGGAGAGAGGGGGGGGGGAGGGGAGGGGAAAGGAGAGAGGGGGGCGGGGGGACAGGAGAGAGAGGGGGGGGACAGGAGAGAGGAAGGGGGGGGGGACAGGGGAGAGGGGAGAGGGGAGAGGCAAGCTAGGTGCGCTCGCGTCATATCTGACGTCCTACCCCTCCCTCCCATCCCTTACCATGGCGCTGATTTTCTCTATCCGCGGACGCGTGTCGTAGCGGACCTGTGGCTCCGCGCGCGCGTGCGTAGTGGGTGGTGGTGTGCGTGCGTGCGTGCGTGCGTGTGTGCGTGGTCGTGGTGGTGGTGGTGGTGGTGGTGGTGGTGGTGGTGGTGGTGGTGGTGGTGGTGGTGGTGGTGGTGGTGGTGGTGAAGGTGGTGTTGGTGCTGGTGCTGGTGCTGGTGGTGGTTGTTGTGGTGTCGGTGGTTGTGGTGGTGGTGGTGGTGGTGGTGGTGGTGGTGGTGGTGGTGGTGGTGGTGGTGGTGGTGGTGGTGGTGGTGGTGGTGCGGCGCGGTGGTGGCGGGCGGATGGGCGCGCGAGAAAGAGGCCCGCGCTGGGGCGAGAACGCCATCCTGAACGACGGAGGCCAAACACCGATCCGAAAATGAGGCCCACGCTGCAGCGGGAGCACGATTCGGAACGATTCGGGAGCAGAAATGAGGCCGGCGCCTCAGCGAGAGCAGCATTTTGGAAAAAACGCAGGCGAAAACCCGTTTCCCGGGAATCCTGTGTAAAAAAAAGTACGCGGGGGGGGTCGGATATCTTCGGGACGCCATCAGGGGAAGTGTGAGAGTATTTTCATATTGTGTAATTGTGGAGGGGGGGGGTGGACAGGAGAGAGGGGGGGGGGACAGGAGAGAGGGGGGAGGGGGAGGGGAAAGGAGAGAGGTGGGGGGGACAGGAGAGAGGGGGGGGGACAGGAGAGGGGGGGGTTGGGGGGGGCCGGGATCATCACCATCACCATCACCATCGTCATCATCATCATCATCATCATCATCACATCATCATCATCATCATCATCATCATCATCATCATCATCATCATCATCATCCATCATCATCATCATCCATCATCATCATCATCATCATCATCATCATCATCATCATCATCATCATCATCGTCGTCATCATCATCATCATCATCATCATCATCATCATCATCATCATCATCATCATCATCATCATTATCATCCGGAGCGCCCCGGATCGGCGGCACTGGCTGGAGGCCACCACGTATGATCCGCATGCGCTGGCTAGAATTCTGCCAGCGACTTCTTGGCCACACGTCCGCTCTCCTGGCTCTCCTGGGAGCGCGCGTGCTCCGCTGCGTCTCTTTTTCTCGGCGGACGCTCACCGTGTTCTCTACCTCCAGAAGGCCCAGAATGTTCAGGCAGAGCTCATGAGGCCCCAGGAGGGGGAGGAGGAGGAGGAGGAGGAGGAGGAGGAGGAGGAGGAGGAGGAGGAGGAGGAGGAGGAGGAGGAGGAGAGGAGGAGGAGGAGGAGAAGAGGAGGAGGAGGAGGAGGGAGGAGGGAGGAGGAGGAGGAGAAGGAGGACGAGGAGGAGGAGGAGGAGGCAGAGGATGTAGATTTGGGGCGTGGATGTCAAGCAATCTTAAACCGCCCAAGCCTGACACCAACCTGTCGCGGGGTGATCTCTGTTGGATCTCGACTGGGTTCCAATAGCTCCTTTTGGATCCCACAAGAATGTCAACTGGGTTTCCATCTAGTGCGTCTGCCGCAGCATTCCAATAGAACAGTTCCTCGACTGTAACCCAGTGGAGCTTCCAATCGTTTTCAATTGGGAAAGGCCCCAACGGGTTTCAATAGGAAGCACCCCCTATTGGATTTCAATCGGAAACCCGTAAGCCCCATATCGAGGAATCTTGTTGGGTACCAATGGGATTCATCTGGTGTCAACAGGATCCCAGTGGGAAGGGTGCCACTAGGATTCCAACAGGATTACTGTTGGATGCCATTAGGAATGCCCCATTCCACATATTTTCGCTTCAGACGGGTCCCTTTACAACCACTACGTTTCAGAGAGCGAAGTGTCTCCCCTACGTGGACCCACAGAGATTTCGGAAATTGAAGAACATGTGTCGCTTATCTGCGTTTTCCCGCCAGGTTGTAAAGTGGCCTTCCTGGTTGCAAAGTGCCCTTCTGGGAAAGCCCATTCTTCTTGTAAAGTGCCCCATCTGGTTGTAAAGTGGCCGCTCTGGTTGCAATGTGACCCACACGCTGTTAGATACCCCCCTGGGTGGCCTGGACACTTGAAAAAACGTGGTCTAGCCACCATGTTAGATACCTCCTGGGTGGCCGTTTTTACTATTTGGTCGGGTCTCCAGACCTCGTTATTTCGCATGGATTCCGCGCAAAACGCGCCGCATCTTTTTTTTACGAAGGAAAACTGTGGTCTGCGGACCTTGTTATTTATCGAGGATCCGAGATGGGCGGCTAACTTTCCTCGAACGGGCACGCGAAAAACGCATGTGTTCAACTGAAAACTCACACTTTACCTTTTAATGTATCGCAGAATAATTTCGCCGGCCCTCTTTCTGCAAGGGCCGGGGGGAAAATCTACTAAAAGAGAACCCTGGGCCTATGCCCTTTCCGGGAAAAACGCTCTGAGACATGATCGACCCACGAACCTGGAAAGGGATATAGAAATGTGGGGCATGGCCACGTGTTTAAGACACCTGATTGCGCGACGGGCAATAGCAATGCTGAATGTATCGATCTTGATGTACCGTGCCGAAGGCGTGTCAGGGGACGCATCAGGGTAAGTGCCCTGGACGTGTCAGGGACCTGCCACGGAACGTGCCAAAGCGCGTGTCATGGGGCGGTTAGAAGACGTCATGTCAAAGGACGTCAGGGGAAACGCCTGGGGACGAGCAAGGAAACGCGACAGAGGACGAGCCAGGGAATATGCCATGCCGAGCGGCGTGCTAGGGGGCGTGCAAGGGCACGTCCCGCCAGAACGTCGCAAGGGACACACCAGGGAGCGCGCCAGGGCGCAAGGGGACGTCCCATGGACGGGCGGGGTTGAACTGCGACGCACTCTGCTGCAACAAACGTTTCGCTCAACACATCCTCAACAAATCCTCATGTTAGCCGTCTGTCTGGGCGATCTGAACACGAGAAAGCAAAGTTCTAGCTCGATACGTTCTCAACACCTTCTCATGCTAGACATCTGTCTGGGCGACCTGGACACGTGAAAACAAGCGTTTCGCTTGGGACATCCTGCCCGAATCCTCATGTTAGACATCCGCCAGGGCGGCCTGGACACGTGAAAACAAGCGTTTCGCTCAAAACATCCTCAACACATACATCTTCATGCTAGACATCCGCCTGGGCGACCTGGACACATGAAACCAAGAGTCTCTCTCGAGAGAGAGAGGCATCCTCAACAAATCCTCATGTTAGACATCCGCCTAGGCGATCTGAACACATGAAATCAAAAGCTTCGCTCAACACATCTTCAACACATCGTCATGCTAGACATCCGCCTGGGCCACCTTGGCACGTGAAAACAAGCGTTTCGCTGAACACATTCTCATGCTAGACATCCGCCTGCGCGACCTGGACACGCGAACCAAGCGCTTCGCTGAACACATCTTCAACACATCCTCATGCTAGACATCCGCCTGGGCGAACTGGACACGTGAAAACAAGCGTCTCTCTCTCTCGAGACATCCTCAACTAATCCTCATGTTAGACATCCGCCTGGGCGACATGGGCACGTGAAAAAAAGAGTCTCGCTCATCACATCCTCAACACATCCTCATGGTAGACATCCGCCTGCGCGACCTGGACACGTGAAAGCAAGCGTCTCGCTCGAGCCATCCTCAACACATCTTCACGTTCGCCATCCGCCTGGGCGACCTGGGCATGCGAAACCAGACGTCTCGCTCGAGACCTTCTCAACACATCATCATGCTAGACATCCGCCTGGGCGACCAGGACATGCGAAAGAAAATCTTTCTCTCTCTCTCTCGCCCAAATCCTCATGTTAGACATCCGCCTGGGCGACCTCCACACGAGAAAGCAATGAATCCTCATGCTAGGCATCCGCCTGGGCGACCTAGACACGCGAAAACAAGCGTCTCTCTCGAGAGACATCCTCAACATTTCCTCATGCCAGACATCTGCCTGGGCGACCTAGACGCGTGAAAACAAGAGTCTCGCTCGAGACAACCTCCACACATCCTGATGCTAGACATTTGCCTGGGAAACCTGGAAGCATGAAACCAAGCGTCTCGCTCGAGACATCCTCAAGACCTTGGCACGCGAAAACAAGCGCTCCACCGGAGACATCCGCTGAACTCTGGTGCACAAAACAAGTGTCTCTCGAGACATCCTCAACACATTCTGCTCTCGAGAAAGAGACCTCATCAACACTTCCTCATGCTAGACATCTGCCTGGACGCCCTGGACGCCATCCTCAACAAATCCTGATGTTAGACATCTGCCTGGGCAACCTGGAGGCGTGAAAACAAGCGTCTCCCTCGAGACATCCTCAAGACCTGGGCAGGTGAAAACAAGCGCTCCACCGGAGACATCCGCTGAACTCTGGTGCACAAAACAAGTGTCTCTCGAGACATCCTCAACACATTCTGCTCTCGAGAAAGAGACCTCATCAACACTTCCTCATGCTAGACATCTGCCTGGACGCCCTGGACGCCATCCTCAACAAATCCTGATG